AGAGTGCTTTGCTAAATATTTTGATTAACACAAAAATCACCTTCAGTCTTGTTCTCTATTATAAATAAAAGTCAATTACAGGAGTGCTAGCCAGAGCAGGTAATTTGTAGCTTAGGTGGAGAAGAAAGCAAAGGACACTAGCAGCAACTAAAAGCACTACTTTTCTGACAAACTGCGTAATTCATTACTTTTCATCATAACCCAAAAATAACAATTAACTGCCACGGAGCTAATACCATGCAGAGTTATGGAAAGCAGGCATGAAGGAAACTATACAGATTTTTTTGTTTCCAAATAAAATTTTTAACTAAAAAATTACCTGACCTTCTTTACTTTGAGCTTCTTATACTGTCAAGGCAAGATGCATGCATGTTTTTTTGTGATCTGGCCTACTTATTTGCTAGATTTCCCAGGTATTTAACACCTGCAGGTGTGTTTACACTTATGCACAGGTTGTGGTCTCACTGGCAAAGGAATTAGACTGACTAATTTCATTTACTTAAAAAAATTAAAACGTTTGCAGGCTATCTGTTGAGGGCACCAGATTATTACTTTGCAGCAGAATGATATTTTGCTTAAAAATCAAGCTTGCTAATATTCTTTAGCAACATAAAGTACTGCATCTGCAACAAGAAGATCCTCAGCCTTTGCCTGGGAAAATGGTTTTCACTGGGCTTATCTAAGCCCAAGAGAACATCCGCTGCGTTCACCTGTCTGACACTAAACCCTGGTCAGCTCTGTGGGCACTGGTAATACCAGACTCACCTGTAAGTCAGTGGAAAATAGTACAAAAAGAAATGTTATTCTGAAGGTTGAAGCAGACTGAGTTTTAAGAATCATGGCCATGCACGTCAATTGTTTCAGAAAGAGGATTTTTAGCTGGGTTTTTCTGCTGCTATCATTGGCACTTGCTGACAATAAATTGCTTTCTTGTCAAACTGTCAGTTACATTGTCAAATTTGACAACAATCAGTGTTTTGGCAACAAAACAAATCAACACTGCCTTTTCCTTCTGCTCCACATTGAACACAGTCTTTTCTACTGATATACCCTCTTGCTGAATATAAGCCTTTTCCTAAAATCCAAACAAAATCCACAATTCGTTGTGATGACATCAGATGACTACTGATTACATGATTATTAAATCATATTCTTTCCTTTTTTTTTTCCTGCAGAGAGCTTAACACAATTATTTCCTGAAGCTACAGTTTGTGTATCCAGTGAAACGTGTGTGGGGAAAAAACCCAGCAAGCCCTGGGTCTGTGTTTTTACCACCAGCAGGTTCATACTCTGAATTGTGCACTTCTGTAGCAAGAATGTCTCAATACAGCAATTCAGAGCATTCCATTGTCTCAGGAAATAAAAAAAATCAACCCGGATTCTCTTCCTGTGTTAAAGGCACTTCATGCTTACAAGAGGTCATTACAATTCCTTACCAACAGAGGCCTGAAAAAAGCCCAGCAAAGTCAGCTGTGAAACGCTAAGGGGCTTCAGAGCTTGGATTCAGGTCAGGATAGCAACTCCAGTTATTCAAAGATGCCTGGACTAAACCCCAACCCAGAAGGCCATCCATGTTCATCATCATCAGCTTATTGTTTTCAGACCTCATGAAGAGCACGTCAGCACACTCATTACAGAAGGGTTACTTCTTGAAAAAAACGTTGCATTGATCCAAATTTGTGTCCCCACCAATGGTTTCCGTTCCCACTCGGAGACAGGACCTGTCTTACCTGGGGTGTTCGACCTGGGTTGAATAACTTCGGTTGAAGTGAGAGTTAGTAGCTCCGGTCTGCAACCAGAAAGTGAATAATCTACCCATTCTTGACACAAATCAAATACTACATACTTATGACATGAATTGAAAAGTTCGGATTTTTCTATTATGTATTTCACATTTGTGAAAACGCTACAAAAATATTTTGGAAGACTTGTCTGGATTGCAAATACCCACTTGTTAATGCAGAATATTTAATCTGCTTATTTGGTAACTAGAGATCGAGTGTTTCACACCTTAATGAAACCAAGTGCTTGATTACACAAAGGGTGTTTGTTTGGCCTCTGTCTTGAAAAAACAAACAAAAACCAAACAACTATAAAATGTTTAGGTATTAAAACAAACACTTACCTTTTGATTACAAATTTTATTCTGTTGCTTGCTTGAATTATTTTTTCAAGGCGAGGGATTCCATACCAGGAGGGACTCCTAAAGGGGATGTTCTCTGGCAGCCCTTCGACATGGAGGTCAGTAGGATGGGCCTCAAACTTCTGGTATGGCACAGCTTTAGGCTCAGTGCTCCCCAAGGCCTCGGCTGGTAGAACAAAACACATCCAGTAACTGGACAGTGTGGCCATCAAGCTTTCTGAAAAGCCAGCTAAGCTACCACATCTTCAGGTGGTTGCAGTCACGATCTTAGAACATGGGACAAGGCAGGATGTCTGACCCTGACAGACTCCAAGTCTCAGCACATCAGAAACATAAAAATTTACCATATGGTATCACGGTGCTATTGAGCAGCCACAATGCCAGAATGAAGATTACTGGGTTCCTCACTGGGGCATAATACAGTAGTTTTACTCCAAGTTTTAATCTATTATAGAGCGTCCTGTAACGTTTTATTCTAGCTCTTACGAAGCTGATTATTTTTTTTATATTGCAGAGAACATAAAAATTCACCCAGAAATGTTCTAATACTAGTTTTAATGATACTGCAATCGGTATAAATAAGTAAATGGTTGTTTTATTCACACGCAAAAAAATAAAATATAAATAGGAAGGAATTGAAAGCCATTATAAGAGCTATACAGATAAGATTTATATTTTTTTTAACTATGAATTTACCTTGTCACATAAGCAGTAGAGTAATACATTCTTTTTCACTCAACTACCAGGATTTTAAATATTTGAAAAAAATTGATCAAAGGTCTCATTCATGCAGATGTTCAAAAGAAATAATGAAAACAACTTTCAAGAAATACAAAGCCATAAAAGAAAAGAAAATAATAATACTGTACTCACCAAACTTTTTACAGAAGAGCTGATCTACCATCTTTCTCAGTTTGGTGATTCTGACATACCACTCCTCCTTCACTGTGTTTGAGAGTGACACAGAACAAAGACAACATTCCCCAATTATTTTGGTTATATTTTCACTCAGTCAGTTTATAGCAGGTATAACCATCCTGCATTTTTAGGTATCCCAGAAAATACTATGAGGAAGAGTACAGATTCAACTTGGAACTAGGAAAACTAATTATAGAAAATGACTGAATATTAAAATTGTAAAAAAAAATAAAATACATTGAATCAGTGACAAGGCTCTTGCTACAAAATACACAGTGTATTGGCATGAAGAACTGCAATGCTTTGATCATTCGCTTCCAATCTGTAGATCCCATTTGGAGATGGGATTAGTTTTTTGCTAGTCTCATTTTCTAAAAAATTATTTTGATATTCAGTGTAGAATTTGGTATGCATATGAGATGAAAACTTGCTTTCAAGGAATTTTCACGAAGCAGTGACAACCCCAAGAGAAGCTTTTACAGTAGGTGCACGTATTAGTTTGCTTCTTGCCGTATATTCACGTTGAACTTTCAACATCTGCTTCTCCCCACTGTTTGTGGACAATACTTTTTGAATGATGGTTAATAGCTACATCAGATGGCTCTAGAGATTTTGTCATTCTTCTTGACATGACAAGCAGCTTAGCTCCCACTCTCCAAAACGTTTCCTCAACACTACCTAAGCCATGAGTTAAGGTGTAATTTAGACGCAGAACCCAACATATGGCAGCTTTATTATTAGATTAGCTATTATTATTAGATACTAGCATATCCTGGTGAATAAAACAAGTTTAAATACTGTTCTTCCATCGTTTTATCACTTGAGTATCTTTGTTTAATGGCTGGTACACATGCAGTTCATGAGATGTGAAGACAGTCGGAAGTTTGAGTTCTGCTCCTCCAGCACGACGATGACGTTAGTGCTGTCATATTTGGTAGCAGGAAGGGCAACAGCTTTTATTCCTGTTTTGTCATGTGTGCTTGTCATTTCGGATTGTGTCTGGCACCCCCTGCTCCCAACGCCTGGTGATGTGGCTAGCATAACTAATGCCATTTTGTAAGACAAGCAGCCATTCTTCATGACCAAATGGCTTGTGTATTCGTTCCTCTTCCCTCGTTCTCAGGCCCTGTAGGTCCTGTGAACCACGTACACAAACCAAACAGATTTCTTCTTTCCCTCCGTATCAGCCTCAGGGTTCCTGGGTGCCAGGCCAATCCCTCCCTTCTTCACCAGCCTCGGAGGCCCCCGGCACCCACCCAGGGCAGTGGTGGGTGCTGATGTCCCGGGCACGGAACACGGAAGCCTAACAGCACACAGAGCACTTTCTAGAAAATCCAGCAGTTACAAGTCCTAAGGGGGAAACTGGGACAGGAGCTGCTGCTGGACAGTGAGACCCATGACCCCCATGGCCAGGGACACCTCCACTCTCCTCTGCTGCCTCCAAGGATTGAGTAACTCATCTTCTTTTATATCACTGAGTCTAGATTATGACCGTCACGTTAATACAGCCAGCCATGTATTAAGATCTGACCCTGCGAAGGGTCTGGGCGATGAGAAGCCACAGATTGTTGTATTATAAATCCTGTATTACGCTACTTATAAATTGTACTACGTTGATTCTGCTTCTAGAAATCCTGTGCCATTCTAATAATAAATTCTGTGCTACACTAATAATATCCTGTTAAGAAAACGAAGCTTTAATTGTAACTATGATTTAGTGCTGTCATCATTCTGCCAAGGATCCCTAACAGAACCTGTCTGTCCCCTCAGTGTTGGGCGACAGGGACGGAAGCACAAATCATACAAATCACTTCCTTCTTCTGAATGCGTGTTGGTGACCAACAAGTGGAGGCTCATCAGTTTTGAACAAGCCACTGGAGAGCTGCTGCGCTGTGGGTTTAGTCGGCAGGCCCAAGCGACAGCTTCTGCTCCATAACTGCATGGCACCAGGCTGGGATATCTTCAGAGGCACCTGCTCACGCTTCAGATGTTTCCTGAGCCACATCATCACTGCCTGGTTTGTCTTGGAGCCGATATAGGTCTTCCCAGGGCTTCAGGGCTGAGCTCATTTCATAAAACCTTCCTGACCAGCCTATTCCCCACAGAAATGCAAATATAAATCATCTTTTTTCTGCCAGTCAAAATACGACTTCCATACCCATCCCATTCCTCTCCTGCTGGGACACAAGCTAGCAGGGGCCGTGGAGAGAGCAAGACTTTGGACACGGATTCACAAGCAGCCAGGACCAGCTCGCTCTCTCCTGAGACAGCAGCAGAAATGAGGAGGATCAGAAGAGATGATGAGCTACTGGGAAATGGGAAATCCAAAGAGGGAGGAAAATAAAACATAGGGAGAGGAGGCTCAGACAGCTGCTGTCTTCTGAGCTGTATTCCCTGAGATGTTCTCTTCTCTCAAAAATACCAGAGATCACACATGAATATATCATCATTACAAATTAGGGAAGACAAGCAACGTAAAGTGACTGTTTGTAACACTGTGCCATCATAGTTTTCTTAGCTACAAGGGTTTTACAGGCTATGTAATGCACCTGCTTTGTCTTCATAATCAGCATAACCATATTAAATACGACAAAAACAACAGAGAAAGGGCTAATTTAAAACCCCACATAAATGCAATTAAGTTTAAGACTCAGTCATTAGCCTACCTACTATTTTTGGACTCAAATTTGCTGCTCAAAGGAACAGTAGGTTACTAAGACTCAAGACACTAAGTTAACTTACACTGCAGGAAAAGTTCATTCCTACACAGATTCCTACATAAGTGACATCCTTATGACATCATTTCTTTGCTTAATTTAGATCCTTAACGTTCACTTTAAGTACAGCCTCTGATATACTTTTTGCAACAGAAGACTACCAGTATATAATACAACATAATGGTGCTGCAGGAGTGCAGATACTGCTGTTCATACGCTTGTGTCCCTGTCTGAACTAAGAATTTCTCTGGTATTACTACAAATTCACAGTTCAACCAGGCTGAGGTTGCCAGTTAAAATTTTGGTTTTGGGAGCAATTTGTTTGCTACCACTGGTTGAGGCACACAAGCTTTCAACACTTGGCTTAACTGGACAATTAAAAAAATGCCAATTAAAAAAATGCCCTGAAGCCCAAGAGACAGTAGAATACAACTGAAGAGAAAAACAAGTCCAGGCAAGTAATTTACCAATTAGTACCCATGCAAAGGCATAATTCTTTCAAAACTCAATTTTTTTCCATATTGAACTTTTTCCTTCCAGATTGAGGGGAAACGAATTCATGGGTGCAACTGTAACAAAAATCTGTTCTCATAGTCTTGTTTTGACATGATCATTTTGCTTACCTTTGCATGGGTGCACAACGGAGACAAAACATGTAAGAGCATCTATGTGCTGAAAAGGATGACTGATGGCAAAGGTGGTTAGAACACATTGCCTTTGCACTGCCACGTGAAAACGGAGTCTCATCATCTGAGCAAGTCAGACGCCACAATAATAAATGTCACTATAACCAGTATGTTCATTACTGCATTTCAGTTAATCTAATTTTGGCAAATCCCATGTATAAGCAGTTATTCCATGATACAGACAGAAAATTCAAAACAAGAGGAATTATTTGCAATGTGTTATCAGTAAAAGCAAACGTTAGCCACCACTAAGACTGACAAACAGGAAACCATACTGTACTTGTACAACACACACGTTTGAAGACCTACCTCCTGCAACTCGTTTGTCCACTGGTACATCTTCTGTCAAGTTCAACAGCTCATGCCTAAAAGAGTTAAGATACATACTTCAACAGTGATGTAGACTTTGATAAACCAGAAGTTACAGGTAACCCTAGTGACGAAAACATTTTTCATGCCCAATACCCATATCCACCTGAGCCATAACATTTCCTGGTAACATACAGATTACAGTAGAATTATCTCTGAGATATAAGATGCACTTCATCAGAAACAAAGATAGAAATGAAAAATTTAACTTCAAAAAATGAAAATCTCAAAGTAGACGCTTCTGTCTCTCAAATACATCTAGTCTTATTCACATTAGAACAACAAAAAATTTAAAAATTTTGACATTTCTCACAGAGCTGAACTAGTTTTTGAGCTGCTCTGGTTACCACACATTACAAAGATGAACGGCATAAGTTAATTACTGTTAACAACTAAGACAAATTCGACAAGAGCAGGTGCCAGCATTGCATAAATACTGAAATCTATACATAGTGTCTGATTTTAAGTATCCCAGGCTGCATCCAAAGCAGCATGGGCAGCAGGTCAAGGGAGGGGATTCTGCCCCTCTGCTCTGCTCTCGTGCAATCCCCCCTGCAGTGCTGCGTTCAGCTCTGGGGTCCCCAACAAAAGAAGGACATGGAGCTGCTGGAGGCGGGGCAGAGGAGGCCACAGAGATGATCCGAGGGCTGGAGCACCTCTGCTACGGAAACAGGCTGAGAGAGTTGGGGCTGTTCAGCCTGGGGAAGAGAAGACTCCGGGAAGACCTTCCAACAGCCTTCCAGTACCTAAAGGGGCTACAAGACAGGTGGAGAGGGGCTTTGGACAAGGGTGTGAGGTGATAGGACAAGGGGCAATGGCTTTAAACTGAAAGAGGGGAGATTTAGATTAGATTTAAGGAAGAAATTCTTCACTCAGAGTGGTGAGGCACTGGCACAGGTTGCCCAGAGAAGCTGTGGCTGCCCCATCTCTGGAAGTGTTCAAGGCCAGGTTGGATGAGGCTTTGAGCAACCTGGTGTAGTGGAAGGTGTCCCTGCCCATGGCAGGGATGATCTTTAAGGTCCCTTCCAACCCAAACTGCTCTATGATTCTTCCTCTTTTGTGGTTGTCTGCAGCATTAGGATGACAGAAACTGAATGTATGTCTCCCAAATTTGAGAAATTAGCATCCGTGCTGAAGGTGGCATGCACAGAGACATGGGCTGTCACTACCACCGATTCTGAGCCTGACCACTGCCATCAGCAGACTCCTACCCACTTTGAAAACTCTTGGATTAGGCGCTATGGCACTGAACAATAGTAAAACATCAGCTGTTACTCACAGAAGTTTCATTTAAACTGTAAATGCCCATCTGTGGTGTGAAACATCACATCTGTCTGACGTGAAGCACCAAACTATAAAAGATAAATATCCACTCACTACCAAAGCTGCTTATTGGTCTGCCACAGTCGTACCCACAGTACCGGATCTCAAAGTGCTCTGCAGCTCTGATATCCAGCCCTTGGCATCCACAGATGCCAGCATCTCTCCCTGCGCATCCTGACTTTAGGCTTGGTCCAGGCTCCCTTCCAATACCATCCGCCTTTGTAGCAAGTAATGTCCAGGTTCTTCTAGGAAGGAAATCAAGGCAAGAAAGGAGAAAACGAGAAGCAAAGGAGCCCAGAACGTCTCATGAGTCTCATGTCCACACTTTAAAGGCAGATGATACCCTGCCAGGCTGGCTAGGGCAGGCAACTGAGCCCTCAAGCAGTTTTATGTACTTCTAAGGTCTCCCTTCATGTAGACTCTCTGATCTACCTCCAGACACATCAAGGACATATGTCCAACTAAATCATAGGAACCAGTAGCTACTTTGGCCTCAAGCCTGCCCTGAGAGACGCTATATGGCCGTAGACACCTTCCTACAGCATTCCAGAAAGAAAAAAATATAAAAGCACAAGTTGAAACTTAGGCCAGGATCCTCAGGTAGCATAAAATATCCCCAAATCTATGGCTTTCAACATGTATCAAAGAGATCTGCCCATGACAAAAAGTCCACAGTACTGAACAGATCTGTCCAGATCTCAGCCACCACCATGGTGCTCTGGTGATCTGATAAGCTGAATTTATCAGAGTGAACATCAACAAAAAATTATTCATCAGTACTGCAAAACAATACATCAGCAGAAATCAGCTGGGAAGTTCTTGAAGATAAAAGGAAGCAGAGTGGAGCCAGCAGAAAACAATGAGTAATACAGGGACAAAAATGCAAAATTCCTTACTTTTTAATCACAAATCGGATCCGCTCCTTTGCTAGAAGTATCCTCTCAAGGCGGGGAATGCCATACATGGATGGCCGCCTGAAGGGAATTCCTTCTGGCAGCCCTTCCACATATAAGTCTTCCACGTGTGACTGGAAGAGTGGGTATGGGATAGACACCGGACCTTTTGCTTTTATAGCTTGAGCTTTAAGAAAAAAGAAGAATAAAAATATTAGACCAGATTGTAGCTCTATTCAAATTATGTTTGATATCACTCCGAAAAACAGAATTAGCAGAGAGGCAATAACCTCCTCAGCACATTTTAAACATGCAAGCATTCATATTTGTGGGGATTTGTTTTTGTTTTCTAGCAAAAATTGTTTTAATTCACAGTAAACAAGCTGCAGACCTGCACACATATGCAGATTCTCCTCTTTTCCTTTTACTCTGTAAACATTTAATAACAGACACTGCACCCGTCACAGTGAAGTTTCACAGGATTTTGGTTTTGTTTAATAGCACATTTTGAAGAACAAAATTATCTAGACTTAATTATAAACCAAACATGTTTCAGTTCATTAGCTCTGATTATTATTATTTTTTATTACTGTTGGGTTACGAGAGTCATTAATGGCCTGGAGGAGGAGCATACATCCCTTCTTTTGAGTGAATTCCCCAAACTTTGGTGTATTTTAGAAATCCAAGGCATCACTACTGAAATAAACAATACACTTCTAACATCATCAAAAAAAACATTGCCCTACTAATGAAATCTTCGAAGCAAATGAAAAGCGAGTAACAGATTCACCCACAGCTGGAAAACAACCTCAATGTATTTCTTTAAGTTATGATGACCGTAATCATATCAATACACCTATCAGACTGGCAAATACTGGAGAATGGCATGATGGTTTGCAAATAGCAGATTCTGAACTGGTTTTTACTTGGTGTGAGTAGTTTTCAGTGGGTTGTTTAAATGTCAGATGATAGCCACACCCAAAACATGTAGTAACTCCAAATCACAAGGTCCATTCTGAAAGCACTTCCACTTTTCACAGCAGAGGAGCTTCAACATTTGTTTTGCAATTTTTGCTGATGCTGTTTTAGCATGCAGTACGTGGACACAAAACATGTCTAGGTACAGTAGCTGGAGACAAATCCCAAAGTCTAACATGTGCTTCTTTTTCTCTCCAAGAACCATTAACATATAATTGTTGCTTCACTGCAAATCAATCATAATTAGAAAGGAACAATCAATCAGTGGTAACTTCTCCCCAGAGCCATTTTAAAAGATTTTTTCACTTAAGGACCCAGTGTAATCACAGAAAAAAAGGCCAGCTCCCTTAAACGTGGGTGCCCACGACACAAGCACACTGCAGCTCCAGGAAACTGAGCACAACTGAAAAATAAAATCAAGTTTTGCACTTAGGTGCCAAACACAGGCACCCAATTTTGAAATTACTGTGCCCATCAAAAGAGCTGCTTTCCCCAGGTTTAAGTCCTCTAATAATATTTAACCCTTTGGTGCTGTCAGTACTGGTGTGCTCCCAAGCACCAAGATGCATCCCAAAGAGCTGGGACTCACGGTGCCAAAGGACTAGAGGCGACTGTTTGGAAAAGAGCGTGACATACCGTATTTTTTTTCAAACAGCTCTTCAACTTGCTTTCTCAGCTCTGTAATTCGTGCATTCCATTTCTCTGCAAAGAAAAGAGCACAAATGAAACAGAATCTCTTGTAAAAATCTGTTACCCGCTAACTGAAACACGCAGCGTGCGTTTACTGCTCGCTTGCACACAGGTGCCTGTGGAGTAGGGTATAGCCTATACCATAAAACATGGACACATTCTGAAAGAAGAGGGATAAATAAAATGTTTTAAGATTACTTGTGCAGATGTTAAATCAAGTTTAAAAAAATAAAAGGACATAAATCAGGCTAAAATAACTCCAAAAATGGTTTCTCTTTCTCGGCTCCGTCAGCAGCTCTCGCTACCGTCGGGGTAAAGTCAGTTTGCGGCTGCTGTTGATAATCATGGAAATCTAGGCACTACAAAGCTTAATTAGTGAAGCTTGATAAAGCTTACAGCGAGTGCGTGAAGTTATTTTGGTGCAAATTTGTACAGCTATCTGGGTCAGGAGGCATCGTGCCATCTACCACCTTAATCCAATATTTCTCCCCGTCCTGATGTTGCAAAACATCCCCATAAATCCCATTTCTGAAAGAAGATGCAGGCTGCAAGACAGACACTCTCCAAATCCAATTGTGTGTTCCATGGAGAGCTGGATTAAACAGCAGAATTTTAACATCTAATTTTCTGCCTCTGACAGAAAGCACATGTTTTCACAGCTTTGTGTACTATCTCAATGCTCTCAGAAAAATGCCACAACTCTTTGGTAGATGGTACCAGATGCTGGCTGGCCTTTTAAGAACGAGTTACTAAGCAAGTGTACTTACAGCTTATTTCTTACACCAAAGACTTGAATCTAGTAACTACAGAGGTCAAAAAATAAGGCCATTCAAGCTATTACACTGCCAGCTGTCAAAAAATTCTTACATCAGACAAGACAGAGGATTGAATTTTGAGTCCGTATCCAAAGAGGTTTAAATATTCATTCTCGAACCAATGTACACAACTTCGGTGGCCATTTTCAAGCTTATGTTTTTCAAATGTGATTTCACGGATATCAAGAGGACAGCATGCTCCAGATGTGGGCAAGAATAAGACCTTGTTTACTGGGGAAAGGGTGTTTTGGCATGCTGCCTTGCATCCACGCATAAAGCCTTCATTCTGCTTACCTGGTGTATCATCTGCATCAATTAACCTGTTTATATTTTGAAATAACCTTCTTGTGGATAAATCTATATAATTGCTTCTGACACTCTTTTTACTGCTATCCTGTAGCACACAGCTGCTGAGCTGATAAACGTGTCTTGTGGTCAGTGCTTTCTATTCCTGTGTCACACCAACCATGTAATATTTCCCCCTTTACCTGCAAATGTACGGCCAGATGAAGCTCCTTCTGATTCCAGCGCAGCCACCAACTGCGTTTTTTGTTGACTTACAGAACAACAGATTAACAGCAGCTCTACCAGTAAGAGTCAGGTAAACACGAGTCAGAATTTACTGGCCTAACGGGGAAACCCTGTTTTACTCAACAGGGCTGGTGAAAACACACAGACAGTCTTGGGACACGGGTTTTGAAAGGCACCTGCGTGACTCCAGACTGTAACTCCGAGGAAACTCAGAGTTGAGATCCCTTCAGTTCATCAAGCTCTGAGGCAGATGCGGCAAACGATCTCCTCTAAAACTCAGGCTGCTTTTCACCGGAGGGAGAACAGACAGAACGTCATCTCATGTTACGGAGCAACCATATGAAATTATGTAAATAATACTGTTCTGAACATTGGTTGCTGCTGCAGTTTTAGGAGAAGCTGCTCCCACCCAGCCTGGTCTCCCTCTGCTTGTTTGCACCCTCACGAGAGTGTTCCTACATGAGCCATTAAATTCTCAATTCATTTTTCTCAGTGGCCAAACCCCACAATCACTGGTCAAAAATTCTATGTGGATCTTTTCAAGCAACTACTTCCGTGCCCCTCTCCCTCCAAGGCAAACACCACAGGGATTAACAATCAAATACACCACAATACGGGCACATTTATTTGGAATAGTGGATATACAGAGAATAGGCAACTGAAAAAAATCATAAACTGGCTCACATTTTGATCAGCACACTGGCTTTTTTTATCTACTTTTGTATTTTACAAGTAAATTGCCAAGTTAGGCTACTGAGTTATTTCAAAATCCAGAGGGGTTATCAGGTAACCAGCATGATTTTTAATCAGATTGTCAGCATTATTAACCCCTTGGATTCAGACCAATCACTGTAAAAACATTCTTTTGTCACACACTTTGTGCTCATGTAGCAAAACTGAAGACCTACTGCAAAGCTAAGCTGATAACTCTGTTTGGTAATCACTCTCTGCAAAGCAGTTTAGTTTTCCTGTAGGCACCACCAAGGTAAGTGGTGGCTTCCTTCTATTCCCATATATACACACCTTCTGATATATGGGAATAGAAGGAAACCACCTTAAATTAAATAATAATAATTATTAAATAATAATTCATTATTTAATAAATTATTAAACAAAATAAATTTATTATTTATTGAAAACACCAATTAAATAATAATCCTGAAAACTTCCCCAGTCTGTCCACAGTGTCTTAAATCTACCTCATTCTCTGCTCCTTGGGGACACGCTCCAGATGACATCCACTACCTTAGGGGCAACCTGCACAGTGCACGCAAAGCGGTACTCAGGTACTAAGCACCTTCCTATTCCCATCAACATGCCACACAGTACTCCGTGGGGAAATAAAACGGGAAATACACAGCAATTCCAACCATGCTGCAGGCTGGCAAAACCTGCGTTCAACGGCGTGTCAAAACAGGGAAAAACTAGACACACTTTCCATCACTGTCATAGTGAGAGACAACAGCTAAGGGGACTTTTTTTTCCCACTAAAACAGTATGACACAACTGCAAGACACAACTTGAAGCTTTTGAGCTTTTGCTAAAATCCTCTAAGAAAGCAAAAAAGCGTTGTGCAAAGTGATTTTTACTGACAATGTCAGTTCCTTTCAGCAAAGATATTTTTAACCTTAGTCGGTTCAGAAATATTTTTGAAATCCAACCTCCCTTCCCAAAGATCATCAATTTCTATCAAGCATTTTACCAGACACTTTTTATTCCTCCCCCTGGTTACAATTGCTTTGTTTTCCACTTTGTTTTCCTCGAAACTAAGAGGACAGCACATTATTCACCGTGCTTCTCAGGCCACTTGGGGTACCTGATCCCTGACTCAACCAAGCCATACGGCAAGGCTCTCCAACTCGCAGCTATCAAACATCTGGATCTCATCAGCGTTATGTACAATACTGAAAGCTCTTATCAGATGAGACAGATCTCTCTCTCTCAAGCATCTATACCTCCTTTCGAGTCTTCTGAGCACATGTGCCTTTGTCATTCTGCAGCTATTGATGAAAGAATTAAACACCTCCTTTTCTTTTGTCCGATTGTCTGGTATTAGATTTCCTTGGAAAAGGTGCAAAGTCTCCTGAAATGTCCCAACAGCAGCACTGCAACTACCAACAGTTGCTCTTTTTTTCATTATAGCAAATGAAGTTTATTTCTCCAAAGCTTCTCACATTCGTTTTGTTTTATCCAGACCTTGCAACACTGTAGAGAAACACCACCTTCTGTAGGTGAACTCCAAAAGTCAACATGAGGGGCAATCACCTCAATACAATTTAGGAAGCCCAGGAATAAAGATCTCTGAATAACCCGTGAACTGCAACACACTTTTAACTGCACGGCAGGTGGTAAAGAGCAAAGTTTTCTTGAGAACAGCCCAGAGAGATAATCTACCAAATCAACTCAGAAGCAACAGTGAGCAGGTAAGCTGTGAGATGTTCTTTAACATTGCAAGCTCAACTCAAGCCTTTATCGTCCTCATATTTTATTGCTTTTGCTCATGTCTAGTTAACCTCATTGTTTATTCCCTTCAAACACTGCTGGCCTGCCAAGCTTAGATGCTGTTTTCTACCACAGGAACATAGTCTAGCAAAAGCTTCTGCAGTATGAACTGCTCAATCTTCTCCTCTATTAATGTTGTCATTATGTCCTCCTGACCCAACCCACACTAACTAATGCTACATGTGGAACTGCCTATTAGTTTTAATGATCTTTTGAGAACAGAACTCTCAACAATGTTTTATTCATTTTCGCTGAAATTAGCATGAAATAACGTTTCACACAAAACAGATGTCAGAGGTTCCACGGGGATTTTTCAACTGACCTCAAATCCCAGCATTCCTAATAAACATCTCAAACACTGTGCCAAAGGACATATTCCTAACTGTGTAGAACCTTAGAGAAGTACACAGGTTCACGGGATATCTGCCCAGAAACCAAACCAAGAAATAAAGGAGAGGTATGGGACTGCAACAAATCACATGGGAAGTATCTGAAAACTGAATGTGGATGAATTTCTGCAGAGAGAACTCTACACAAGGCATCATGAAAGAACACTTACCAAGAAGACCCCAACTTTTTGTGTGTCCGCAGGAATCAAGGCAGGCTACTCGGCGTAAGAGAGTCATTTGGTTACCCTCCCAAATGTGGCCCCCTCAGCACACCTTCAGTGGTCACAGAATGCATTAAGGCAGACCAGCTGCTCGACAGGCTCCTGACCTCAGGTTTGCTGTAATTCAGTACTCCACTGAATCCGGTCTGGTTGTCTTTTTCAAAAAATCATCTTACAAAAATCTAGACTTATTTTTACTTTATTATTTGCTCTGTCTATTTAGATGGTCACTTTGAAAAATAAGCATCAACAGAAGTAGCCTATGAGGATGATCATACTGCTGCAATATATCTACAAAGAGCCCTGGGCTCTTAAACAAGTATTTGCACTGGCGTGTCCCACTCCTGTGGCGTGAAATCGTCTAACATCTTTTTATAAAACAAAGCAAAGATATAATCTTTAATTTTTGTCTTACCAAAATTGAACTCTTTCACTTTTCTTTTCCCAGTATTGGCAGCTTCATTAGCTGACTCTGTGTTCTTCGGTCTCTTGTTAGGAGGCAAGTACTCATCATCATCTTAAACAAACATACAAACATCACTGTTTCGATGTCCAGAGAATTCATGTGCAACGTTGGAACTGCTTTCAATTTCAAAGCTCTAATGCAAGCATTGAACTGTGCTTTATCAGGGCATCAAATTTGGTAACAAATTACTTATTTGAGTAACTTTAGAAAGCTACTGGCCTGCGTAGGAATAATTTGCGTAAGAGAGACAGCACAAGATAGCAAAAAGCAAAGCTTCTTCTGTACTTCCTAAGGAAAACAATATCATGTTCTGAAACATGACTGGATATATCATAAAATGACCACGCAACAGCAAAAGAAATCAGGAGATAAATTGTGCAGACATAGACCATGTTTTTTACCTAACTGGAAGTATCCTTCCACTAATAAGTCTCGAAACACAAGTTTTATCGTGAAGAAGTCAAAGGTACTAAAACCTGTTTCAAACCAATGTAAAACTTACAGATGTAACAAATTCATTTAACAGGTCAGCCCTACCTCAAACACAGAGGGGAAAAACTGCAAACCCCAGATATTTTTCACTGAGCTGCTACTTAGCCAGTCACTTCCCAATCCAAAACACTATCTTCCCTACCAGTTAAGCAGCTCTTAAGGCTGTCCAATTAACAATAACTGCAACGTCAGAGAAAATAAATGGTTAAAACAGACAAAGAAAATTAAAGCTATTCTGTATGAGAAATTAACATCTGCCCAGGTATAGTTTACTTCGGAAGAATAATATTACATATTGACCTCTCTTGCACCGATGCAGTTGTGCTATATTCTGTTAGAGAAAACCTTTTCAGAGCATTTTTAATTTTGTGGTAAAGGTCTTTACATAGACAAAGAACTTAATGACCATTCTCTTATTACCTTTTCCATTGAGGTAATGTAAGAACTATTTTACTGCTGGATTATAAAAAGGTAAAAGTAATGCCAGAACTGTCAACTTTAGCCTAAAACGCATTGCCTGCTTTCTAAATTGCTAGTTTGGTGGTCTTAATCTTACTCAATCAGAAGCAAGCACTGCAAAAGTCAGTCTCAAAAGTGTTTTAAAGCAGTTACAGCACATGTAATTCACAAATACGAGAAACACAGCTGACCTCCAACCAACAGCCTTGCATGAGAACTATATGGATACTGGTTAGTGGCTTTAGTGCCATTTAGATGAGAAAGGGAGGTGGTTAAGTATAAAGGTTCTCTCATATTTATTGATATGAGACAAATAAATTGAAGCTTCACTTGCACCACCTGTAACATAATTTCCATTACGGTACAATTCTTCCCAGAAGCTAGTGTCAACTAGAAATTTTATGTAACTACAGTGTGCTTATAAACCAACGTGTTCTTCAGAATAGAATGTTGCAAAATCTTTCTAAATTAGTGGCTATTAAATAAACAGTATTCTTCATTACTAACGCATGAAAAAATATGTGAAAGATGCAAATCTCTGTCACGCATCATTTCAGAACCAGCCAAGTCCAATATCCTTCAGTGTACTGGGGTTTTGTAAAACTTCTGGACTAGATGTATTTACCAAGCAGCGCACCATCCAAACTGCAGCCAGCACTGGTGCATAATCTTTCTAATTCAGTGCCAAGTAATGCAGGCATTGTAAAACATTTTTTGGACATAAGATGGCCCAACGGACTGATATCAATGAACTGGAGAACTAACCTTCGATGGTGACCTCGACCTCAGGATCCTCACTTATTTCTGAAGGGACATGTTCGGAGGAATCTGTGGGGGAAAAACAGGACTGCTGAATGATGGACACAAAAGACTTTTAACCAAACACTGAGTGAATTTTGTATTAAACACTTGTCAAAGAAGCCCCTTGGCTCACTGAAACGTTCTGCATTCACTGTGTGCAACCAAACAGAAGCAAAGATATTTCACCATAAGCCTTTAAGCAACTCTAGACAAGGGTGAGGAGGTGGGGATTATACTTGCTAAATTGCATGTGCAGCAGTGCAGAGTTGGTGTTAATGACAGCAGGAAATTCCTTATTCTTGGCTTAATAAGATTAGTACAATAATAAATATTTTTCCCTTTGTTATCAAGGATTACAGAAAACATAAACAAAGGCTGTGTGCCCCTACAGATGATATATTTCTTTACCATTTATACAGACTCATAGTTTTTGCACTATAATGATTTCCATAACAGGCTGTAAAGCCAACAGTGAAAAATGAGAAGGAAATTCATAATCACAATGCTTTCGTTGAGGCAGTCTGCACCAACATAATAAATAGGATTAGGTCTATCAATATGTGGTGGGAGAAAGAGCAATTTGCTTTTAACTGCAGTAAAGTTAAAAAAAGTGAAGTCAATGATATTGGAAACTATTTCAAAACTAAGTAGCAGTGTAGGAAGGAATAGATTTTAATTATTCTGGCAGAGTAATGCTGTGCTTGTGCATTTTGAAGAGCATCTTCTTTCAGATCTCTAAGCTGGAAATATGGTATCACTCTGGGAGCAAGTCTGGAGGAATTTCCCCTTTCCACAGCTCTTCACATGATGTCATGTATAGTAGAGATATAGCAGAGATTGAGCAGTATCTACTGAGACACCTTAAATGGAGTATAGTCAAACTATGACAATATATCATCCAGTTCATGGGAAACAGTATGATGTTTTGATCTAATTCAGAGTGAGTGCTGGCTAGGTAACCAGCAAATGCAAAGCACAACAAAAGGGAAGAATTAGGAGGAAATGGTCTTTTAGTAGATATGAACATAAAATACGGTCATAAAAATATCTATCACATCAACTGATCATTTTGAACGTTTTTTGAAAGCATCAGAAAGTTGTGGTTTTTTTTAAAAAATATGATTTTTGGAGATTTAAAACAGCCACAAAGACTGGCAAATGGTCCATCTAGTGCAGTACCAAATCCCCGAGAAATAGTCATAATTAAGACAAATATGCAAAAATGTCAAAGCTCTGGAAGAAAACTCCCAGATGGGACATTTTATCTCAAGTCATATTAAATCAACAGGTTTAAACACTAAAGTACATCTCTTTTAGTGAAGTATAATCATTGCTAGGTATTTTTTGATCTCTAAGTACTTCTTTCCATCAGGTAATTAAGTAAACACACACAGCTCCTAAGCAGCAGTTGCCTTCACAGTTCTAAACGTGTCATTCAGTAGCTCTGCCTCCAGTTTCTCAAATGTGATTTCATTTAGTTTAAAGCAATTTATTCTGATGCACGTAACCTTAACTTTCTGATTGCTGAATTTCAACCACATCATGCTCTCCACTCATCCAATCTCACTAAGTCCTCAGACATTTTTATCAGCTATAGCTAATCTGTTAATTTTGCCATTTCCTTGTTCACCATCTTGTCAAGGTTACTGGAGGGGAAAACAGTGAAAACTCCCAGTGATATACACCAAAGATATGTTTGCACAGCCCTTTAATGTTCTTCTGCGCAGAAAGCAACGATTTCTGCAAATCTTCTGCATCATAGCCTGCAGCTTTCAGACCAACTTTAAATGCATGGCATATGCATTTCTTCAATCATAGAAGTTAGACTGTTAACTGAATTTTTAATCACTGCCTATAGACCTTTTCATAAATACTCACCTTCACGAATAACAGGTTTATTCTATTTAGCAAAACCAGGGTGCTGCTTTCAGCATCTCTCTTAGGGAAACTTGTAAAGAACAGATTTGAGAAAAGGGTGTGTAACAAAACCATAGTCCGACACAAAGGGTCACGCTCAGCACCTGTAGCTATAAAATTCTACATAGTCAAAACCAAAGCAAAGTCAGAGCCTGGGTCATTTCGTATCACACTTCCCTTTCCTCGGGCTCTCTTCACTGTCAGCCGTAAAGCTCATGGCATTAGGCTTGGGAAAACAAAGTACCTAGATTATTTCTTCTCAAGTACGTAGATTTATTGGTGCAGTCAGAAAGAACAAAGAATTTTATTCTCCTTTATCAAGAGAAATGCTTTTAAATTCGATGCAGTGGTACCCTTAACTGTGGTGGTATCCACCTTCGGAGCAAAACTAATGGGATTTGCAAGAACAAGCATTGCTGCTGGCAGAACTTGGCCTTAACATCTGAAAAATACTCATGACTCAGGTTTGAGAGTCAGGTGCTTAGAATGAAACTATCTGCAGAATGATGTACTTTTATCATCCTGTCAAAGCATTAAACATTGGGTGACAAGCACCTTACAAATGCAGTTTATGATTTAAAAGAACGATGACTCCCATCACAACTTGCTTATAGCAAGCCAGAGTGGCATGATTTGGGAGATTAAAAGCAAAACAAAAAACCCAAAAGCCAACCTTGTGGAAATGTGGAAAGAAAACAGTTGGAGAAGATGTACAACTTTAATTAACATGCCATCTTTTCAAATATTTCCGAAAAAAATATACAATAATGTTAAATTATTCTCACGAAAAACATTTAATGTCTCTAATCTTCTACCGGTATTTCCACATCTGTTCCTTCTCAGCAGTTGGAACTCTGGTGGCTTCCTTTAGACAAATACAAAGTAAAAACCATAGCATAATAAAAATACAAAAGGAACTTTTAACATCGACTATACAAAGCAAGGATTTTCGCAAGTGAAAAATCCAGAACTACAATGTTCACATGAACGACCCAGAGAAGGCCCAATTTCTGAATCTTAAATTCATGACAGCAGGAGCACTCTGACCTTACAAAGAAATTCCCAGGTTGAAATGCAGATTAGTAATTTCTAGTGACTGCGAAAAGACGCTGAAAAATAACGTACAATTTTGGAGTAAATTTATTTCAGCTGTTGTTCAGATACAGTAAGGAACTCCTTCCACCAAACACAGACTTTCCATACGCTGTTCTGTAAGTACCCACTCACCTCACACACAGCTGAGAAAGAAATGATCAGGTTGTACTCAGAGCAAGCTGATGTTCCTTTTCCAATTTAGAAAAGAAATAAGATTCCCTTCTATATGTCTCTCTACTTGGACACCCAAAAATTAAGGCAACTGAAATTTTAATTTCTGTCAAAGTGTAAGTTCCAATACCCTCACTCTTACTTCAAATCAAGACAGCAGAGCCCTGAAAAGTGAAACTCACACATTCAATGTCCACAATAGATGTAAGAAAAATACAGTTAAAAGATCTACCTGTGTAACTTTTTGCAAGAGCAATCTTTTCATCCATCTCTGATGTTTCGGAAGGGCCTGCTTGGGAACAAAGAGAACGGATTTTAAATTGTGTCTCACAGCACATTTTTTCCAGTCCATAGAGGAATTTACCAAATAACTCTTAACTTCATATATCATATGCTCAGTTCATACTTCCTGTAATGTTGAACTTAGGAAAGACTGTGTGACGTACTAAAAAAAAATAATAATCTATAAAGCCTTACTCATCTAGTTCCAACAGAATAAAAATGGGCTAATGGCAGGGGTGTGCATTTCTTCGACTACTGAACAGTCAGAAACTCATGCAGAACAGCAGGATTTCAATTTTCTGGTGTTAAACTAATTTTAAAACATGAAACGTTGATGGTTCTGCCTTTTTTCAATGAATTTTTAATCAGTTAAATCTTTTTCCTGTTCGTTAAAACCTGTATTCCTTGGGACTCCTTTTTGACTTTAGAATTTCTACCTATGTTCAATAGCCAAATTCAGAGAGATTAAAATCATTTACAACACTCCAAGGTTTTTGCTTTTCATCACAACAGCTCTTTCGATGGCGATATATGGACTGCTTGGAAAGGGCTGACACACAACTGACACTTAAAAGATTAAATTAACACCCCTAAAACCCTACTGTTTAACGCTTTGGCACTCCTGCAGTTACACTGAAAGAGCAAACTGCTCACAGCACAAACACTCCACACTGAGCAAGAGATCATTCTGTACCACAAAAATAGCCTAGGTATATAAAACTAGCCTACGTGTGGCATATGGTAATGTGTAGGATTAACAGGAACGGAAGGATTTGGACTGAGTGTTCTCCATAAATCGAACCATTGCACTGGTCGTTTGCAAAAGCAATCTGCAGAAGATCAGATAGCTCCCCAGAAATTATGGCCCCAGAAGAAAAATGTATCAACTAATATTAATAGCTTCTCAGTAGAAAAAGCTACTGTTAACTAATAAGGCAAGTGAAATATTTTAAAGTCATTATTCCATACGCACAAGTAAGTAACTAAGAAAAGACAGAAAGATTGTTGTCACAATCAGACTTAATACTTCAGTCAACTGAAAGTACATACGCTGAATCAAATACTACGAGTCATTCAAGAAAATTAGTATTTAGGGATGACATTTTTGAAAGAAAAACATGGTTATTAGGTGGTTTGAGCTAGTTCTGCCTAATTTGATTGCTCAGATTTTCGAAGGGATTTTACAGTAACAGGACTTCAAGTGAGGAACCTATCCCAGGTTCTTTGTTTCACGGGCATTTCTTTCAGTAAGTGCTGCTTTAAAACTGCTCCTGCCACTTTTTCTTTGCTGGGAGGGTGTTTGGGTTTTTTTTCCATTTGTCTTGAACTCAGAGGAGCTCCCCAATTTGGTTCAAAACACAGCTCAGGAAAGTCTTACTGGCACAGCCGAGCCCAAAGCTTCAAGATGGGGAAAAAATGGGGGAGGAAAAGGAGTAAGGCAGAAGCCAGAGATGCTGGTGGTGCTCTAGACCACGCGAGAAGTTCTCATACAAACAGTGTGATATGCAACTGGTATGGGCGAGTGGGAATAGAACACAGCATCCCTGGCTGTGCTGGAAAATGTCCCTGTGGACTAAATTTGCTTTTATTTTGTCCTGGTTTCAGCTGGGAAAGAGGACGGAAAGAGTTTTTCTTTTTAGCAGCTAGAAGAGCTCTGTGTTTGGGATTTAGTCTGGGATTTGTTTTGAGAAGAATGTCAATAGTGCACTGATGTTTATAGTTGGTGCTGGGATCTCAAAGACTTTTCAGCTTCCTGTGTTTTGCCAGTGTGCAGGAGCACAACAGGACAGGGGGGAGCATAGCCAGGACAAAAAGATCCACAACTGCCCTTGTGATTTGAATTGAGACTTAGGAGTGAGGGACAAATTGGCCAATGGAGTATTCCGTGTCGTGCAAAGTCATGCCCAGTGAGGGTTGACCAGGAAGTTGGGAGCTCTTTTGGGGATTCTCTTCTGGGGGCTCTCTTGGAGTTCTCTCTCTCTCTCTCTCTTTTCAGGCCTCTCACTCGTCCAGAACTGCAGTGTCAGGACTCATCTGTTTCGGGATCACTTGCCAGGACCAGCAGGTGTTGGTCACCAGGTGGTGAGCAATTGGACTGTGCATCACTTGTTTGCATATATGTATAACGATAATAATATATTCATCTATTATTTTATCATTATTACCATTATCATTATTAAACTGTTCTTATATTAACCCACAAGTCTCCTTCCTTTTCCCCCTTTAATTCTCTTCCCCATTCCCCAGAGGGTGGGAGGGTGATAAGTGGCTGCATGGGGTTTAGTTGCTGGCCAGGTTAAACCAGGACATATTTAAATAAGCATATTCAGTGTATGCAGCCAGACAGGAGTGTCATTTCCTAAGAACTCTTCTGAATATGCAGTTATTTTATTTCATAATGCAGTGGCTCACAGAAGCTTGCACCCCATTATAAGCAAATATCCTACTATAAGCACATATTTTTGTGTTTATTCCTTAATTCCAAAATCCTGACAGGATTGTTTCACCTATGTATTCTGCAGTAGTCTCTATATTGCATTATCTTCATGTCAAATACATGCTGTGACACAAATAGAAAAGGAAAATTAGGAGTCTATGACACATTCAAACCTGAAAAAAAGATTTCTTTAGTTAAAAAGATACATTTACTAGGCTTGCTGCCTCTGGGATTAAGCTCAGAGAATTCAATCCCCTCAGTCTTAGTGTCAATAAAAACTATAGCACGTTTAGTAAATCCATCAGATTTTTAAAAAGTGACCCATACGGATTATCTTATAAAACCTGAAGGGTTTTTTTTTCATATTTCGAAGCTCTGATAGAAGAAAAAACAGTATAAAAAAAGTTTCTGAAATTGAAAAGTGTGAAACAATATACTTTGCTAGCTTAATTTAGTAAAGAGTAGAAAATGAAATTTGAAAGAATTCTGAAAGTTTTACCATGTGGAGATATTTAAAAAAGCAGATATATTTCCACTTTACTGCATTTATGCACCTAAGAGGCAGATACACACACATTGTACTACTGAGAAAAGCCAAAACCAAGTAAGGTGGTAACTAGATGAAAAAATTTCCAGCTAGGAATACAAGTATGAGAAAATCACCAAAAAAAGAAAAAAGAAGAAAACTTCAGAGAAAGGAATTTAATTCCACTGCAGCAAGCGGAGCAGAGGAAGGCTGGACACAAAGGTGGGAGATTTAATTACTAAAACCACGGGACACATTAGGAGTAAAAACCTGCAGTAAGGTTCTCGCTTGGAGCCTTCACTAAGATCTGTAGGCAGCGCTAAGCCGCGTCGCCTGGCCCCAGAAAGAGCAGCGAGTACACGTGCTACGAGCCAACTCTGCTGTGGAACACACACACTCCTTGGTCTCTGGTGAGCACATCCACACCCAACAGACCCCCACCCAACAGACCCCCACCCAACAGACCCCCACCCAACAGACCCCCGTGCCTAAATCACACGCTCGGGCTGAGATTCTGCACTGAAGTGACACCTTCGTAAAGGACAGCTATTGCCATAAATCCCAGACATCCGAAATGCCTGTCACAAACGTGTCATTTCTCACATTCTAACAACTCCTTTAAAAACAAGAGTAGATGTCATCCCCTCCACAGTCACACCTACTCCTCCTGCTGCCCACCAACAAACCATTTACTCACCCTGTGTCCAAGCCCTCAGCCTCCGTTTCTAACGGATTGTGCCCTCCGCAGCCGAACTGGCACAAGCTACAGCTTTATCTCATGGATTAGCACTGTCAGTGACACTCACGTTTTAGTCTTTTTTTGGCTACACAGATGGCAGCAATGTGAACAATATGTAACATCAGAATGCTGTTATGAAGCACAACATCGGGCTTTCTTGTTTTCTCAATATATTCTCTGGAATTTCTTGGTTTAAGATGGTATCTCCACACCGAGTCTTATATGACGGTGGTCAGAGAACTGCTGGGCTAGCTTTACAGTTTTAGCCCCATTAAACTGGGCATTGCTTCCAGTATTCTGGAAGATCTCCAAAAGAGAAATGATTTGTTGTTAGAGACACACTGAAAGATGTTCGTGACTTTCAACATTCCAGAGAGAAAATAAAAGCACAGTTTACATTCCCATTTTGGGCTTCTTTTCCCAGCAGATGATGTTTTCAATCTCATTTGGTTTTGGATGAATGTCCTATATTTTAACTGCCTCACATTTCCTGAAACTCCAAAACTGACAGCGCTGTTCAGCCACATGGTGCTTTAGAGAGACAAGATGTTAGGCAGTTGTTTGTAAGTGGTTTATAAGCTGAACAGACAGTTCATTAGACAGCGGTTTATCAAGCTGAACCAGCCAATTCACAGGACACGTTGTTTACAGCCTTTTCCTTCTGCTTCCAGTTCTCTGTTTCAACTTCGACACATCAGTGGCACCCAAAGACTTGCATCCACAAAATTCACGGAATAATATGCCTCTTTCAGAAAATGTTTGGGCCTTAGTCAGCAAATCACTCAGTTCTGCATGGACTAGGTCTACAAAAATCCCTGGTTTTACTCTGTGCTGATTAAGAGCGTTGAAGATGGTACGTGTCCCCGTGGAATTTTTTTAACTTATTCCTGCTTCTTTGTAAATTGGGGAAAACCAACTATGTATAGCTCTTCATTCTGTTAATTGATTCAGAGTTGTTCTCATTCTGGCACTGATGGTATTTTGACCTCATTTTTTTCCATTAAAAGTATTTAAGAAAGCCTGGGCCTTGTGGACAGCCTTCTAGTAAGAAGCCAAGATGTGTGTCTGCTACTGTCCAATACATTTACACATCAGTTTAACAGTCTCCTGATGACAAGGAGGCTGGTATAGAAGCTAGGAGGACTTATGGGCACGGAGATGTATTTTTATCAATATAGTACAGAACACACAGCCTCCTACTTGGCTTTAGGACCAGGCCTTGCACACGTCCAGCTGGTCTGGAGCTCTGGCAGAAATGAATGCAACAGCCATGGAAACAGATCTATTCCCATGGCATAGTAATATGCTTCATCTAAGAGCACAAACCACATTTCAACCACTACACTAAGAAACAGCATTTTCACTAATGTTTCTTTCATAAGAACCGTGACAACTGGTACTTATAGATAAGGTATATGCAACTGTGATAGCTGGAATGCTCCAGTATGCATTATTTAGCCCTGCAGATCTGTGTTCAGTCCTTTTCCTCATGTAGGCAACAAAACCTGGACCTTTCTTCCAGAACAGGTTGTTTCTGGTGTCACCCAAAGCATTCAATACTGCAGTGACGTTCATGTTTGTCCAGGATACTGGAAAAAAAAATAAAAATCCACTGCATACTGCTGGTGCCCACTGATGGAAAATTGTCCCTAATACTCTGTCAAAACATGGCTAAAGTCCCTATTTCTCACTCGTCTTCTTGTGTACTGCTAAAACACTTCCAAATTTAGTAATCCAGTATTAACTCATGGCAACAACGCTGGAACCCACTGCAGGATAATAAGAGCTGAGAAGTAGGTCCATCTACAGGTATAATTTTCCCCCCATTTGATTAACGAGAGAATTTCACGTGCCACCGAGGCACAGAGCGCTTTGGTCAGCATTACAGATCTGTGAGAGGAAGCAAACACTCAGAGAAAAACAATAACCACGAAATTTCACCAGTAAATCTTTTTCTCCAGGAAGCCCGAAGCAGATTGCTGTTCTCTAACATTTAAGTTGTTTCTTCTCATAAATCGACAAGCCCAGCTTCCACTGTAGGGCATTTTCAGTAAGAACTATGACCCCAGCCACGTTCTTCACTGCTGCAGCCCGTCTCTGTGAAGGTGATGCTCGGGCAGACAGGCGGCATCCCTCAGGATAACGGTACTTTTCTAAGGCTCCCTTCTCTGCACACCATCATCCTGCACACACAAACCCCTATATGCCTCCTGAATTTATAGCTCTCTGCACTCTGTACCACCTTTGGCTTGAATCTGAGCGTCAGCAACTCGAAGAAACGAAGGGGAAGCTGCTTTACTCCGGGGAAGGCAGCAGGACTCCGCATGGTAACAACATCTCTTGCAGCACCCCATCCCTTCTACCAGTATATTTGGTCTTGCCTCCTTTTAAATGCAAGTTTGGAGGACTATCCTGGGAGTGGGGAAAGGGACAGTTATTAATTGAGCACCATTTTATCTGAAAAACCTCTGTATTGCTCTTCACCAATCAGAAGATTGAGTTCTGCAAGAGACAAGAAAAATTCTGCTCCTAAATCCACATTGCTTAAACTTTGCTATGGAAGCATATTGTACAAATGGGCTTTTTTAGCTCAAATATGCTGCAGCACAACAGGTTACTATTTTGTAAGGAAGTGATTTCAGTACTGACTCCTCTCAAACAGCACTGGATTACACCTTGGACTATTGGCCAAATTCTGACACCTCTTTTTTCCCCATGAAATGAAAAGCCACAAGGGACTGAAAAGCAAAGAGATGACAGCACTTGGCTTTGGAAGGAATAATGATTAGGTCTCCAAAAAAAGTATCTATTTTTACTGCATTATATCATGCCTGTAAACCTCCCCATCCCCTGAGACTAGGCAATGTATAAATATGAAGAAAAAATAATCCTAGTACCAGAGAATACACCTTTCAAACGCTGAGCTTGAGCGGTGACATTTTGCTACTCCATACCATCAGCATCTCTCTAAACAGCGCTCGTACATTACTTGAGATGTGGCAGTAGGAGAACATTGATTCTCCAATCCTGTTAGTTAGTTATTAAAGCACATTAGAAAACAATCTCAAGAAGCTTTGCGTCTAAACATGCACAAAAATGTTATCTCAATAATATATAATATTACAAAATGAAAGGATGTGCTGTTTTGCACTTCATTGTTGAACATGCAGCTGTCCCTGAGACGCATGGCAGCTTGCCTGTGTTCCTTCACATTGCTCAATTAACCTAATGACAAAGGCAAATAGGCTAAAATAATACATTTAGGGTTCTAATTGTTTTATATTGACATCTATAATCAGGACTTCTTAATTACTGTTCATTTCAACCCACAAAAAAAACTGATTTCTTGTTTTCACTTCCAGTTGAGGTTAACGTGCAGTATTAACCAGATACGTAGAGATGAGATAAACTAACTGAAAGATACTTGAAAACATACACAGAGCCCAACTCATGGACCTTATGAACGTTGTTATGCTTTGTCTATACAAACAATTCAATATAATTTTGACACATACTGGTCATCCCTGCCCATGACAGGGAGGTTGGATTACATGATTTCTGAGGTCCCTTCCAGCCTATGCCATTCTATGATTCTATACAAGAAAAGTGATTGATACACTATAAAAGTTACTGAAAAGAAAAGATCCAAAGATCCAAGCTGTGCTCTAGACGGTATCGTTATTATGGTTTATTTCCTGTTTAAAAAGAGGTCACTGGAGTTAGAGTTTGCATACTGGACTCTCAGAAAACACAAAAACAAGCAGTTCAAAAGACTCCTAGAATTTCTCCTTCAGCCCAAACACACGCACACACACACACACGTAGGTATGATGAAGTTGTACTTCAGCTCTTCTGGTATTCTTCAGAATAACTTAAATGATAGCCAGTATGGAAATGTGGTATCCTAAAGCTAAGTAATTGCACATTTAACAACTAAGAATGGGTAAAAAGAGAGGCACAGAGAGCGCAACACTTCAGCAATCAACTCTTTCTTGAGATAAAACACATATGAAAGTTAGTATCATTACCTGGAATATTGTATTGATAGTAGTCAGGATCCTCAGATTCCTCCTTCACTGCTACTGTTGTAATTTCCAAAGAAGTTACTGCAGGAGCAACAAAGGAATCAAATATAGAAACTAATAATAACCAGATTCTTAAAAAAAAAAGAAAACAAAACACCAAAACACCTACCAAGATCCTAGCTGCTCTCTATTCAAAAAAAAAAAAGAAAAAAATGTATTTTCAGGTGCTGAGACACTGAACAATTGTTGAGCTAAAACGATGGTAACAAAGTGACCTGCTGGTTTCTTATGTTTCAGTTTGGTCATTGTCAGAAGCGATTCAGGATTAAATGGTTCCCTACAAACCAGCCATCCTGGCAAATGCTACCTTGGATCTGAAGACTTAAAAAGAATGGTCTACACCTTTTTGCCCACTACGACAGCCAAAAAAAAAAGAAAAAAAAAACATTTTGTCACCCATTGTGCTGAAAGTACTTCTAGACCTACTTCTGCCCACTCCTCTGTACAGCCAAGTTCAGATACAGTCTGCACCCAACGGTGCTGCTGATGGAGCAACGCCAAAGGTCCTCAACTGCTCTGGGCTTCCTTCAGCTGAACTATCCCCTCCATGAGCCTTCACAGCGCGCCCCAAAACATTTTCAAAACATTCCAACAAAAGGAGAATTAGTTAAAATGCCTAGAAAGTAGCACTGGGAAGAGTCTGGGACTGACAGACAAAAAGCTCACGTTAACTCTTCGCATACATTAAGCTAAACATTAACCATGAAGGGTTCCCAAACTACAAGTTTGAAGTTGTGAAGCACAAAGAACTAGAAGAAAAAACAAAAACATCATTCTTCTATAAAACGCTGAGCGGTACAGCCCAAGCCAACAAAATGGAAAGTCACCAGCTTATCTCCAAGCACACCTGTCCTCTCCCTGGCTTTAATGGGATTTTTCATGCCCTTATCTCAAAGCATACACTTGGGCATCACTCTGCTGCAGATCACAGTACCTTGCAGGATCATGTCCTACCTGCAGGGGAATTCAGGAATGCTTGGGCAGCTTTTTAACAATAAATAATGCATTTTGCTATTTGTTATTTGCTTATTTCCATTTTAGCTAGAAAACAGAAATTCTGTCATTTTCAATATTTTAGTAATATTAATGAATAAACCAAGTTTTGCTCTCTCTATTAGGGATAAAAGGATCTTGAATTAGAACGAAATAAAACCCAAAAGATTTTCCTCTTCTCCACTTAAAACAGCTATTTACAAAGATAAATTATTTTAGTATACAAAATCTTACAAATCCCCTCTCCCTTGAGACAAACATTTGGCTAAACACTTGATAAAAACACCAACTGAAAAGTGGGTATTTTTAAGGAAAGAATAATTTTTTCTTTCTCGCAAAGGATGGCTTTTAGCTGCTTTTTTTCTTGGAGCTTCCCACCTTTGCTTAAATTCAAACCTTCTGAACAGAAACTGTTTTTTTTTTTTTTGCTGTTTGGTAGGTTTTGGGTTTTGTTTTGTTTTTTTCTCCAAAAAAGGGCAAAATTTTGAACATACCAGAATCCTCGTTTGGTTCCATTTTCACTTGAACAGGAGGACAACTAGAAAACCAAACAAATCAAGAACACTGATGTCAGAAAAAAACAAGTATCCCATTACCAGAAAGTTCCTAAAGCTTTACAGGTTGTCAAGTAAAAATCAATCTCCCAGTATTTTTTCCCAACTAGGAACACAAAAGTAAAAAACTCTGCATCTTAGCTTATTGGATTTATCTAAAGAGAATTACTAGGAATCTCCTATCCCTACGCTTTCGGGATATATGCACTATTCAAAACATGTTTACCATTTAATGAGAAGCAAACTCAGAAGCACAGAAAACTGATCCCTGTTTTCACATTAACCAATTTTTGATTTATTCTAGATATAATTTTTTATTTACTAAAAAAAAAATTTTAGTTTTTTAATTGAAGAGGGGGAAGAAAGCAACATTACATCTGTTCCCCATCGTTGCCATATCATAAAACATGACAAAATTATTCCTGACTGACATGCTGTGAATAAAGAACACTCATTGGGCTAATTAAACCGAGGGGAAACTTTGCCATCTGTTTAATTCATAACAGTTTCCCCACAAATAATGGTCAAAAGAAAAAGAAAATTCGAGCTTCATGCTTTTTATAATCCCAGGCAAACAAAAGTTATCCAAAGGTCAGCTGGACAGAAACAGCACATTAAGAGAAACATAAGCTATATGAAAATATGTAATTGATATTAAAAAAAAATATATTATCTTAAATTCACCTTCCACCTGGAGGTATAATTGAATGTGAAGGATCTCTCATAGGAGCTCCTGAAAGTTAAAAGACAATCTTTGAATTTCCTGTACTCCATTTACTTTATTATATACAAATTGAAAACGTAAGATTGATCTCATGAAGCAAAAGCCTGTTCACATTTTACAAGCATATGTTCATATTTTCTGTATTCACAGACAGGAGGGAAAGATCTCGTTAAACTGCTTTATTAATCTATAAACCACCACCAATATACAATTACTTCAAATGTGCATTTGAATCATGCTTTTCACTGCTCTATTTCATGATGCTAAGTGAAAATCTTGGGAAATAAAGGTAAACAAACCTTTCACCTAAACTCTGCTGGAAGAAAACTGATAGTTTTATAAAGATTCAGCTTAGTCCTACATTACAGTTCGATACAAATAGTTTATGTTTATAGAATGACATTTACCACACTGAAAACCTGCCTTCCATTTTCAATAGAAATATATTATTACCAGAATCTCTGTAATTTCCCACTGTCTAGTCTTCTTACTGGGCACAGGCAACACATTTCTAATTTTACTAATCCAGCATCAACTTCTGATTGCTTCACCTGAGAAAGTGAAACTTTTCCTTTTTGACTACATTCCTATAGAGATTGCTTCATCCTCTTCAAAAAACAAATCCTCACATCTATGAATTTTGCAAGTAAAGCAACATGATCCCATGAAAGGAACACGAGAAGGGATTTCTTCTAAGCTAGAAGTGAACCTTAGCAGCATTTAAAAAAAAACTCACTCTAGCTCAAATTTTTTAATACATAGAGGCTTTCATAGGAACTACAACAGCAAGCCACTTCAGAAAACTCAATCAATTTTTTAAATGAGTTATAAATGCCAAAATCAGCTACATATTGGAACACAACAGCACAAAGTCTTAGCATCTTCTAAAAATGCAAGGTCGTCCTTCATCAGTTCACTTTTCCTTTCCATAGGATACTATCCAATTGATGTTAAATTTAAATTCAGTAAAAGGACGAAGAACGGAATAGAACAAGTTTTGTCTGTAATTAGTTGCTTCTGGCAGAACGCATACGGGAAAAGGTTACAGTTCTATAAGTAAGGCAACTCATAGTCTAGGAATTTCTGCACAGTTCGCCACTTTATCCACATGACCAAATCCTGTATCTATATTCCTTTTCAGGTATCACTATCTAATCTAAAATTCTGTTTCTGATTAGCCTGAGTAAGTAGTAACTTACCTGGGTGTTTCTTCAGCTCCAAGAAAGGCCTGTGCAGAAATGTGGAAAGAAAAACCCACAGCTTTAGCAAAGACATCATTACTTACTTGGTCGTGTAACATTAGAGAAAGAGCATTCCTGTTTAAGAGAAACAGGCTGCAATGTATTTAATTAAAAATTAAAATTAATTTAACTTAATTTAACTACAAACCCAAGGCAGATAGATAGTGCACAAGAGAGCAAATAACCTTTTGATTATAAACGAGATCTCTGACTTGTTTTCCAAAATCCTTTTCAGGGCTGAAACATCATAATTTGCTGGATGTTTAAATGCAAGTCCTTTGGGCAGGCCCTGCACTACCACAGCAGACTGGTCCCTCTGAATCTTCTCATATGGCACAGGTACCACTGTTGACTTTCCTAAAGCTTTACCTAGAGGGGGGAAAAAAAAAAAAAAAAAAGATAGCTATGAGGTCAAGGGTGTGCAAGTTAGCAGAAGGACATAAAACCTGTGGAGAGGGCTGGAGCGAAGGCGATGTGCAGATGCACATCTCTACAGGAAATCAAGTACTGCTCGCATTAAAACGCTCTGGAACCCACTGAGATCCAGAGGCTTTCTTGAAAGAAAACTAAATGGGGTGTGCTGTGCAATAATCTCAAATCACATCCCATAAAACACATCAAGAAGAAAATCATCCAATATATGTGTATGCTTTAGAACCAGCTACTAAAAGTTAAGCTTATCACCTTAACAGAGGTATAGTCGGAACGCTAAGATCATGCAGTACTTTCTTCCCAGCTGGAATAAAAGTGCAGAAATCCAGAACAGCTGTTTTGAAGACTTTAAAGCACCCACCATAGCAAAAGCAGAAAAAGTCCTCCACGGACTTTCTGAGAGCTTCCAGTTCCACAATATCCACTGTCAGTCTGTTGACTGACGGTACAGTCTTTGTTTTCTGCAGTTGTGCAGCCGCCTTCTCTTCTGTAACACCTGGCAGTTATTTACAAAAATAAGACAAAAATAAAATACCAGTTATTAAAAAAAAAAAAAAACAGTGCCCAGTCACTCCAGTAGAGTGACATATATACAGACACTTGAGTCCTGCTGGAAAGTCATAAGAACTTATTTGCCTTAGAAGCAAACACACTTACCTATGCAGATGGGCAAGGAGTAAATTTAAATTTACACCAAAATTATCACATCCTCCTTACAACCTTTGTAAATATCACCCTCTGACGTGTAAGAATGATGCATAAAGAGACATATGCAAGCAGGCTTTTTGGCACAAAGAGGTAGAAAACATTATTAATCTCAGGAGAGGATAACACAGTAGAAATAAACAGCAAAACCACCAAGAAAAGAAGGATCAAGACAGTCACCAGGGAAAAGTTAAAATGCCTGTGTGGAGGGTCCCATAGCTCTCCAGTGCTACATAGAAGCGTAATCCATGACTTCACCATGAGCAAGCACAGCAGGAAGTGTGATTTGCATTACCAGTACTGCTGGCATTGTAATTCTTGGCTAATACGAGAAAATAAACATGAGTTTGAACAACTGACTACACAAGGGTTGTGAAATGAGCTGAAGAAGCAATGCTTTTAGTAAAAATACATTTGTCATCTTAAAAAACTCCTGTCTTCCTTAGACGAGAACCTCTTCCTTTCTTTACAGATCACACATCTGTTTTGTGCCCTGGAAACCCACCTCCACGCAACATTTAGCTCTCCAGCTCCTCACGCCTGAAACTTTTGCTTTCTCTGCAATATGACAGGGCCTACCATAACACAAAAATAATGCAGAACCAGAACATTATTTACTCATAACACAGAGGCTTAGTCAATGACAGCTTATAAGGTTTGCCTGCAGATTTGGGGATAAGAGACATCGGTTTCCATTTATAGCTATGTGCAGTGTTGCTTTTTGGGTGGGTTTTTTTCCCACGTAAGAGACTGATTCACTGAAAACGCCTTTACTGCCAGTAGCTTCTCAAAAGTGTACCCACACTGTCTAAAAATAATAAGCAAAACAAAAATAAGATGACGACATTGCTCACTTCCCATTAAAATGAAAAGCAGACAAAAAAGGCATAGCAAAATTCCTTCTTAACTACAAGAGATACCCTTATCGTTGCTTCTTATTACATGATTTCAATCCATTTTCTTGAGCTCATATTATGCATCTGCCTCCTTAATCTCTCCCACATTTGTCGGCCAATTTCAACCAAGTCTGACAAAGAAGATCAAGTCTCAAAGACAGTTAAGATTTATAAGAGCTCTGCACAACTGATCAAACCCAACAGCCATTCCTCTCCTCCCGGCACCACTGACAGATACATCTCCACTTGCTGGAGGCTACACAACTTCCACGCTCTGTCGAAGCCTTCGCCACAATATTCGGGCTACATCTGGGAGAGGGGATGCCTGGGACTTGTGCAACAAGACCTGGCGGGGAAGAGGGATGGGGGCTGTATTTGGAGTGTAAGTGGGTCAGGAAGGGTGAGGAATGGTTATATGGTAAAAGAATTGCATTCTACACAGCTGGGAGTATACTGCAGGATTAGCCCAG